AAATCCAATTAATTTTTAAATTTATTTTTTCCGCCATATTGGATCCGTCATTTTGAATTTTGAAAATCTAATGGCAAATTCGTAATCAGCGACCTCAAAACCCCCCGAGTAACAAGTTTCAAGTAAATCCAACTAATTTTTATTTTTGTCATCAGCCATTTTGAATTTTTAAAATCTAATGCCAGATTCGTAATCAGCGACTCAAAAACTCCCGAGTAACGATCGACCCAAGTATAGCATGGAATATTGCTTAAATGTCAAGGTGATATCAAGCGAGAATATTCTTGTGACATTCAGGCGATATCATAATGTCCGCTTCATGGGGACATTCCACGGGGATATTCATGTGACATTCGCGAGATATTCATATGATACTGAGGGAATATTCCCGAGAAATTCATGTAATATTAAGGGGATATCCCTGTGATATTGAGCGGAATATTCTTGTGATATTGAGGGAATATTCCTCTGATATTAAGGGAATATCCCTGTGATATTGAGAGAATATTCCTGTTATTTATAAAATTCTTAAATGTTGTTTGTTTTGATTGTATTGAATATTTTAATAAAAAAATAAATAAATAGAAAAAAAACTGAAAATTTTTTTTTGAATTTTTTAAATTATCTCATCAATATCACTGGAATATTCTCTCAATATCACAGGACTATTCCGCTCAATATCACAGGAATATTCCCTTAATATTACATGAATTTCACGGGAATATTCCCTCGGTATCATACCGAGGGAATGTCACAGGAATATCACCATGGAATGTCCCCATGAAGCGAACATTATAATATCGCCTGGGGACAATTACGTAACTTTTTCCGGTTCCCATATTCCGTATCCCACTTTCGAAATTCCGTATTTCACATTCCATATTCCGGATCCCACTTTTAAAATTCCCTATTCGGGAATTATCCATTCCGTACTACACTTTTCAAATTCAGTATTACGTATTCCACTTTTCACATTCCGTATTTCGAATTCCATTTTTTACATTCCGTATTCAGGATTTCACATTTCGGATTCTACTTTCAAAATACCGAATTCCATATCCCACATTCTGAAAATGGAATCCGGAATGTGGACAGTGGAATTCGCAATGTGAAATCCTGAATACGGAATACAGAATTTTAAAAGTGGAATCCGGAATACAAAATATGGAATCTGAAATACTGAATTTTGAAAGTGGGATCCGGAATGTGAAAAGTGGAATCCGGAAAAAGTTACGTAATTGACCCCCTGAATATCACAAGAATATTCTCGCTTGATATCACCGTGACATTCAACCAATATTCCGTGCTACTTAGGGAGTTTCAAGCAAATCAGATTAATCTTTAATTTTTTCCGCCATATTGGATCCGTCATTTTGAATTTTGAAAATCTGATGGCAGATTCGTAATCAGCGACCCCAAAAACCCCCGAGTAAAGAATTTCAAGCCATTTCAACGTGCAGGAGCATCGTTTTCGACTTGTTAACTTTGAAGTTGTTTTTCTCGAAAACTTGATTTCGAACGTAAGGTTTCTTTTAACTGTCCAAGTCACATATGATTCCGATTATGTAGTTCCGAAAGCATCCCCCCGCTGATTTTAATAAAACTTGGTATACAAATGTATTTTGGTGCGCTTCTTACGAAAACTATAGTGAAAATTGGCGCAAATTTGATTATCATGGTGAAAACCATAAAAACACCTTTAAATCATGGTTTTTTGCGATTACCTCGTAAAAAATGCAAAATTTCAAAAAATGTTTTAGATAAACGAAGGGTGCGCTGTTAGAAAGCTATGTATCCGCCAAAACAGCACTTACACTTTTGGAGCTAAATATTATAATAACTATTGATATTCATGAATTGATAATAGAAGATTGTTTATAATTATCGTAAACTTTGTTTAAGAAAGATTTTCTTCCTTGTTCCAGCGTTTATTAGACGATAAAGTATTTAGGACGTATAAAATTTTCATATTACGAAGCCATCAATAAGTAACGGTAACGACCGGGAAATCATTTCTTTTTCCAAACCTTTTTAAGAGCTTATAACCTGTATTTAGATTATAAAGTTATTTTCTGAAAGTTTTAATTGTAACATAATTTAACCCTACTAAAAATTAAAATATATAATGAGTGAAATAAATTTTATTAAATAAATAGAAATCAGTATCATATGCCAAATGCATTTTTATTTTTTTATTAATAAAATTTTTATATGAAATGAATTTTATTATTTATTAACAAAATTAGTGTCAACGTCTTCTCTCACTTGTTAACTAAAAATTAAAAAGTAATTTTAAGTAGAATATACACAATTTAATTTTATATTATTTTAAATAATAACATAAATATATTATTATGCAAAAAAAAAAATTTGCGGAAATTTCGCGGAAAATCCGCGGAGCTACTTCGCGGAGTTTACCGGTAATCTTTTCACGTGGGTATCATAGCGTTGTCAATAAAAAACCGTGAATTTTTACGAAAAATGCCTAAAAATGACTATGTACCCCCCTAGCGGCCACATCTTATGACATAAAGAGCTCAAATTTAGTATACTTACGTATTTTTACGTGAAAATTACAGGAAAATATAGTGAACTTGATTCGGATCGATTTATTGTCAAGGAAAAATAAAAAATTTCGAAAAAAATGATTTAAACTCCCTAGCGCACACAATATTCAACCCAGACTGTTTATATTTGTTGTATAAATGTATTTTTGCGTGAGAATTACAGGGAAAAAAATGTGAGTACGATTGGAGTTGATGATAAATTTTTATCAAATTTTTAAAGAAAAATCGAGAAAAATGGTAATTTTAGGAACAAATGTATTTTTCCACCAAAAACAAAAAATTTTATCTAAAGCGCTTCATAGTTATTCATTTTTACTTATTTTTATGTGTAGATTATAGAAATAATTTAACAAACATGAAAAAAAGTTGTTTTAATTAAGTTTTTTAAGAAAAAGAAAATGTTTTGAAAAAGTAGATTTTTCTTATAAGTTTATTTATTCGTTTCTCTATTCTATTTAATTTTTTCTAATTTATTTTTCTCTTTCTCCTATTCTTTCTTTTTTAATTGGATATTTTTTCACATTTAAAAAAAATGTTTTTTTAATTGAAAATAAAATCGGACAAGTGCGAGTTACACTCGTACAATGAAAAAATAACTAGTAGGTTTTACTACTTTTTAACAACTCTGAGTAGTACAATAGGTCCTCAACTGAATTTAAACGGTTCTATTAACTATATAAAAACAGTTAAGCCAATTAAAAATGTAATTGGTAGAATAACATTTTGTGATTGTATTAACTCAATTTAAAAATGTTAAAACAACTCAATGTGTAAGTAGTAGATTTTACTACTTAAAGTGGTTTTATTTATTTATTTATTCAAAACTGACGAAGATACACGGAACATTCACAAAAAACATTTATAATGGCTTTTTTATATCGGGTTTTTACGCATTATATCCCCACTTCTGTAAAACCCCAAAATCCCCATATTGCAGTCCGTAGCCGACTTTCATTAGTAGTACTCGCATTGGCGAGTACTCTAGAGAGTTGTAAAAATTGTCCATTATCAAACAGTACTCTTTGTGCAATAGATTTTCGCGTCGCAGCATCAAACGCTTCATTATTGGTGAAGTGTAAAATTTTTTAAATTTCTTCGAATCGATTTACGGTCATTAAATTATTAACAGGAGTCTCGATCAATTTATTTTTCGACCAGTACCAACGCTGTTTTGGTTTGACAATTCTGCATTGACGGAAATCTGGAAGCATCTATATATATGTATGTTTATTTGATGGAACTTTTTCCAATCCTTTAGCAAATGTTCTTCTTCATCTAGTTTAAACAGAAAATCATCATCTGGTTTATCAAATGATTTATGGGGTCTTCACAATGGGGAGAAATCTAGTCAATTGATATCCGGAAATAATGAGACTTTTAGGAATAAGTGTTCAAGTGAAATATACAACGTGTCATCACAACACACCAGGACAACCGGTATTTTAAAGATTGCGGCGAATCTCTCCCTCTAGATTACTACAAACCAAAAAGAACTTCCAGGATAAAGTGATAAATCTTAAAATTTTGCTTCACATCGTGCCAAAAAGGATCGATTGTGGAGACCACATGGTGATCATCGCCAATACTTGTAACAAGTGTAAGACAAGCTTGAAGAGTACGGGATTGTACTTAATCCTAAATAATGTTTGCCCATTGACAATACGGGATTACATTTCATCAGTCAGTTTACAGTTTACAAGTTTAACTTCAATCATGATCAAGCACTAGTACTGGCGAGGGCAATAATGACAGCAAGACGATGTCACTAATGTTCTGGACAGCAGGTAATGTAGATTCCAAGTTTTATTGTTTCATTGGTCAACTTATGGTGTTTTGTTCAGAATTAGAGCAACCTATTTAACTTGACGAAGTAAGTCATTTACGGAGTCGACATCTTCACAACGAATATGACATCGAAATATTGTCTGCAGGTTCAAAGATATAATATTTACTACTTCTTCCTCATCATAACCTGTCTGCGCCTAAACGTACGAAGGTTGTCAACATAATATTAATATATAAACGTTTCGTTGAGACCCTGTATGCGTGTATAAAAGAGAATTCAAAATTTTCGTACTCCGACAAATAGAATTGCCGAAAGAAAGTGTATAAGTTGTTCATATGTTTTCATATTAATTATACCCTGCTCCTATACCAAAGTGTGACGTCTCCTTTCAGTAACATAATTGGAATTCATCATATCGTGAATTCATCATATTGAGTAAAGATTTAATGACATATAAATATTGCATGCTGATGATAATATTAGAATAAATAAATTTTTAAAAACATTTCGTTTTTTGTTTGCTCCACTGAAATTCTTTCCTTGTCGCTATGAACGAGAGTAGTCAAAGAACTGTAATAATAGTATCGATAATTGTAATTTTTCCCAGCTAAACATTACACGTTCAATTCTGGCTATTTATGTTTCAGACGGAGATCGTGAGAAGCGCTGATTATATGGACAATAATCTTACTGATAATATGAGTAAAACTCTTAGTGTTGTGAATTGTAATAATAATGACAGTGTGTTTGTAATGGACTGTGGGGGTTGTGGAGAAAATGTTGAAGAAAAAACTGTTCTTTGTGTAGGAGGACGTTCTTGGCATTCAAAATGCTTAAGGTGTTTCATATGTGCAAAGTCTCTACATGATCATCACTCCTGTTTTCTAAGAGGCATGCGACTATATTGTAGGCATGACTATGTCTTGTAAGTATTGTTTTCTAATTTATAATCTTAAAACAGGAGTTTTATATATTCGAAAGTATAATCTATATAAATTTTACTCTACATGCCCAGAGAAAACCTAATCTCAAAACGAGTAGCCCCTACTGTTAATTCCCACATGAGATCCTTTATAAGATCGCTTACGATTCTCGTAAGATATCATGTAGTATCTCATATGAAAAACCATAAGTGATCTTATACGGGAATTTACAATAGGGGCGTACTCCACTCATTTTGAAGTGCAGCAAAAATGAGCCAGGCTGGTGGCGCCACTTAATGTCGTTTAGCATTGACTCATTTTGAACTGCATCAAAAAATAAGACTAGATTTTTTCTATCCACAACAAGCGGTCAGGTTTAAAGTTGTGTGTGTTCAAAATTAAAAGTTATAAAATAAAATATAACTTATACCACGAGCTCCAGTCGACTAAAGGTCGACAGCAGCTGACAGCAGCAACTTCGTATTGTTTATTAGACTAAATCTTGCGTGTCAAAATTGTAGTATCCAAATTTCAGTAATTTACTATCACTCCACCTACTAAAATTATGTTCGACTTTGAAGTGGGAATTATTAATGCTGCCAAGGATGTTATTGTATTGAACAATGTACTATGTTTTTTTCACCTTTGCCGAACTATTTATCGACATATTCAGTCTGAAGGGTTACATGAAGTATACAATGATGCGAATGACCGAAGTATTAAAATTGGCGCTCATATGCTCTGCGCATTAGCATTCGTTCCGGTTGATCACATAAATCAGCATTTCGAGACATTACGACTAGATTTACCAACAACTCTTCATCCGATTGCGGACTATTTTGACGCAACTTACATTCGAGTAAAGACGACAAGAATTCGAAGAGGAAGAGTACGACACTATTCGTACGACTTCTCCACAGTATAACCCTGCTCTGTGGAATCAATTTGACGCAGTAAGAGAAGGTTCTGCCAGAACGAACAATATTTCAGAAGGGTGGCATAACAGATTTCAAACTGTTGTGGGCAAGCACCATCCAAGCCTGTACGCATTTCTCGAGGAGATAAAAAAAGAACAGTCCGACACCGAAATTATGCTGCGACAATTACAAACTGGGACAAAGAATCAAGAGACCTACTGACGCTAAGAAATTACAGACGCACGAACAGATTATTAACATTGTATCAACTTACCATGACCACGTACAAAACGGAGACATTTTGACTTACTTACGAAACGTAGGATACAACGTTCGGTTCTGAACTTTAAAATTGACTGTGATTTGAAAGTGATTAAAATTATAAGTGACTAAAAATTTTGGTAAAATTATGTTTGGTAAAAATAAATTTGATAAAAATGTTTTTGGTAAAAATAAATTTGGTAAAAATAAATTTGGTAAAAATGTCTTGGTAATGCATTTTTTTGGGAAAATAATTTTTGGGAAAAATGGTCTTTGGAACTGACAGATTGGGAAAAGTGACACCTAATCAATTAATGTTAATAAAAAATGAAATATTTAACAAATAAATGAAGTTATTGCAATTCTGAAGCAACCAATTGAAAGCTGACGTAATTCCGCATCCAACAAGCTCTACATGAAATATTTTGGATTAGAGGATTTTTTATAAACAATTGCAATGTTAGTTAATTGTTTATTAACAATCCACTAATCCAAAGTACTTCATATAGGGCACGTTGGATGCGGAATTATGTCAACTTTCATTTAGTTACGTCAGAATTACAATAACTTTATTTGTTTATAAAATATATCATTTTTTAATAACATTAATTAATTAATTAATTAATATCTCGAAGATAACGAAAAAGGACATTTCCATATTTTTTGTGTTTAAAGTATACGTTATAAAATTTCTAAAAAAAAATTGAAAAATAAAAAGCAGTCGGATTTTGAAACAAAGTGAATTTTTTTTTGATTTTTAAAAAATAGGGTAGGTAAAATTTTGAATTATTTGAAATTTCTTTTTTCACCAATCGAACAATGTGAATTAAATTGATTGTTTCTAATAAGTGAACACACTGCACTTGGAAAAACTTTAATATTTATTGCCGAGTTTGTTGTATTTAATAAATTAAGTAAACTAGATTTTTAGGTTAGGAACTGTCATGAGTGACAATGTTCACACCGTTTACAAATAACGTAAACTAAATATTAACGGCGCTACTGTCTAAAAACCAAAGATAATGGCGCAAAATTCAAAAGATGAAAAATTATAAATATTTTATAAAATTAGTTAAAAATATCTTACGAAAAGAAAAAGACATAAACTAATTTCAAAATTAAAAATTTTTTTTACTTTAATCGTAATAATCACTTTTTTTGAATTATTATTAATTTTATTAAAATTTTGAAAATAATTGAGTTTTACAAACAGTCACAATTGAAGTTATTTACAAATAAACAAATATTACATTTTTTCTGTGTTATCTTCTTAATTTTAGCTTGAATCGAAATATTAATTCTTTTAAAAGTTTATTTAAAACCTTAAAAACCGTTGTAAAGGCCATACATTTTTTTAAAGCAGCTAAACACACTAAAAATTTTAATTTGACTTTTTACGTAAAAAATATTCTTTTTTTAAAACCCCTTTAAGTTGTTTCATCGAAATCAGAGAAAAAGACAAAATTTTGTTTGGAAATCAGAGAAAAGTCAGCGAAAAATAAAATCTTGTGTCAGCGCTGATTAAATTGTATTAAGATTTAATATGATTTTATTTTATTGAAATAAATTGAATGAACAAGTGTGTAATTAATTAATTAATTTAATTAAAAATAAATAATTGTTGAAATTTAAAATAATTTAATAAACAATAGTTATTTATGTGGCAAGGGCGCAAAAGTAGGGGAATCGAGACTCGTGTTAGTTTGACGCACGAGCGAAGCGACCTATTTAATAATTTTTAAAATTAAATTATTATTTAATATTTTAATTTTAGTTTGAATCGAAATATTAATTCTTTAAAATATTGTAATAGTAGTAATTGACAAACCAGTTCACTTAATTTTTAAACTTAAATTTTCATCGGAATAAATATCATTAATAATAACATAATGTTTATTGACTTTTCTTATTATACACTTTTTTTCATTGTTTCAATTGTCATATATAAATAAATTGTCAATGCTGTTAAATTAAATTCTGATATTAAATTTCAACTGCTTTGTTTCTTAGTCATCAGATGGCGCCTTATTACTTAGACCAACTTAATAATCATAATCTTGATGAGAATCATTTTGATTCACTTGAAATTTGCCAATGAATCATTTTGATCCGGAACTCAGAATGATGCGCAGCAAAAATGAACACAGGTTTTTACTGTGAAGTCGTATGTCTCATGCTCAAGTCTTAAACATAAAATTTAAGACTTAAGAACTACGGACGGACGCCTGAGTCTCGTTATAAGGCTTTTGGGCTTGGACCACGAAACCCTAAAAATGATATATTTTATAAACAAATAAAGTTATCGTAATTCTGACGTTACTAAATGAAAGTTAACATAATTTCGTATCCAACGAGCCCTATATGAAGTAGTTCATATAGGGCACCTTGGATGCGCAATTACGTCAGCTTTCAATTGGTAGCTTCAGAATTGCAATAACTTTCTTTATTTGTTAAATATTTCATTTTCTATTAACATTAATTAATTAATTGATTAATATCTCGAAAATAACAAAATAGGACATCTCAATATTTTTTGTGGTGAAAATACACATTTTTAACTTTGAAAAAAATAAATAAATAAAAAAAAACCGAACTTAAAAAAAGAAGTCAAAAAAAAATTTGCACTATTCGAAAGATCAGAAAAAAACCTTTGGAAAACATATAGGTCAAATTTTTTTCATCTTTCTGTTTAACCCTCCGTCAGTCGCATATTTTTTTGTAACGCGGTTGCCCTGGCGGATTTGATTTACCCAAAGTCCACCCAGCTGGGTGGATATAGGGCGGATATTGGGTCAACATTAGGAATAACGTATAAAAATTGATAAGTAAGCTAAAATTGTTCAAAAAACATTTTGTAATTAAGAGATGGACTTCTTAATAGTCCACTTCTGCATTGTTTATGTTAAATTAATTGAGAATTATGTAATTATTAAGGAAAATAGTAAAATTTGTCAAATCTGTCACTTTAGATACACTGTAAACTTGATGGTATCATTTTGGAATGCAACGTTTTGATTCGATATAAGGTATCAAATTGATCCAAATATTTGAATCATCTTCAAGAAATGATCCAGAATATGGGATCATTTTTTGATACCTGAATTGGTATCAAAGTATAACTGTCATGGCTGGCATGCTCTTATTGACAAGTTTATTAATTAATTTATTCACTGCACTGAATATTCAGATATTAAAAATACTTATTTATTATGAATTTTAAGAAAGAGAGAAGCAAAAATTTATAAATTGCGAGCAATTAAATAAGAAACAATTTATTTCGAAATAAAATGAACTACACTAACCTTTATTTATGTTTATCACATAAGATTTAAGTTAAGTTCACAATCACAACAGTTGAAAATTTTTAATTATTTTTGTGGTTCAAATAATTATCAATAATTTATTTATTATAAATGAACAAAATTTAAGCAATACACGCTTGATAAATATTTCTAATGCGTTGTCAATTAATGCAATTAATAATTTCCTATTACACAATATCATAATCATGACATTTGTAAACAAACAGGGTTGGGAAACAAGAGCCCAAAATATATTCGTCCAAAGCGAATTTCAATCCTACCCAACTCTGCTTTGGACAAACATATTTTGGGCTCTTGTTTCCCAACCCTGTTTGTTTACAAATTTCATATATGTCGATTATGATATTGTGTAATAGGAAATTATTAATTGCATTAATTGACAACGCATTAGAAATATTTATCAAGCGTGCATTACTTAAATTTTGTTCATTTATAATAAATAAATTATCGATAATTATTTGAACCACAAAAATAATTAAAAATTTTCAACTGTTGTGATTG